CTATTTCAAAAATCATTCGAATTCAATGTCTTTACATGACCTCTTGTGGTCTTCTAGTTTAAGCATTCCAAAAGGCCCAAACTCAGCTTCTTGGTCCTTAGCAGTCTAGCTATAGTATTAAAGTTAGTCTAGCTCTACTCTTTCTTTCGTCATATCTCAACGAAGTAAGTATGCATTTTTAGCCAAACATTGTTGGTACTTTTACCTGGATGCAAAGGTTATTACTATATATCATTTTAGTATGGTATGATGGAAACTTATTTTCTCCTCAGCCTCAGTAATAATCGCGCCGCATTTGTCCATAACCAGAGGAACTCAAAGCTGCAGACCGTCAGATAAAAAATTCCTTTTTTTGGACACATGACGACTAAATTTAATTTTAAGATTAAGTATATTAATCACCTTATCGTGTGCAAAACTAGCACAGCAATTGTGCTACTTTAATTAAAAATGAATTCATTGGTAGTTCTGATAATGTTAAAGCATTTTTGCTTGGACTTTCATTTCGAAGGAGATTCATCGAAACCTAGTTACTCTTCATATCTATAAAGCATTTATATTAAAGTAGCAATTATATTGTGTCTTTTGTAACCTAACCTTGGATGCTCTTTATTTTTAGCACCATCAAGAAGTAATAGAATATACATCTTCGCATAAGTTAGATGTTACTTTTTTAACTTAGATGGTAAATTCACTCAGATATCACAGTAGAGTTTTAGAAGTAAATTGCTATGTAGTTGCTTATTCATTAGTTTATGTCCAATAGACTTCATCAGGGAAAAGCGAAATCATACTTACCAAAAGGGACTGCAATGTGTATTCTAGCGCACACAATTTCTGGATATATTTGTAAGATGCCTTCGACTTGTTCATGGTCTCTTAATTCGTCTTAAATCCAAAATCTGAATATCTTTTAACCCAACTTACTCATAGCTTTGAGATCCCACCTGCTTTATCAGCAATCCTCTATGCAGCTTCAAATTTTGTGCTCGTAAAATCCACTTTTATTTCTCAATAAAATGGCATAATTGTTTTTAAAATTAATTTACCTCTCGTCTTAATAGGCAACACCATTGCATTTAATTTAAATAATCTACTTTCTGCTTAGAGGCAGAAAGATTTGCATAAATATGCACAAGCTTTGCTCCTTCGGGCCACTATTGAATCTATATTTGGGTCAATGCCTTATGTTGAGCTTTCTTCTATTTCGAATGAAATTCTTTGGCGGATTCATATTCATCTGTCGATTGGCTTAACTGGAACATTCTTGTTGATGCTTTATGACTCAGTTTAAGTTCGTTTTCATATTTCCTTCTATTTTCTCCATATTTTGTTTGCTATTGGCCTTTGTCCTTGTGTATACGGTTGGTATATCAGATCAGAGGTCAAAACTAGTGGAGCTTGGATACTGTTTTTGGGTTATATCATCAAAAAATTAATTTATTAATGTTACATTATATATAATAGTAAAAATGTTGAAGTATGCTTCTGCTGCTATTCTATCTAGCCTTAAATTCGTTATATCTTTAGGGATTGTAGGAAGTCTGCAATTGACTTCTGTCAGTCTGTATCACAGTTCTTTTGCATGAGGAAGCCTCTCCTAATTTCCTCGCTTATTAGGCAAAAACATCGAGCGGTAATTCAAGGTTCAATTTTTAATTCAATTTTTCATGATTTCATAAAATCATACCTAATTGTAACCAATAAAATCAGATGAGACCTATTTACCTACTACTTAACCCTTATCCCATTTTTATTTGAATCTAAGTTTATCATACCTTCACTCCATTTTCTTTTACTCTTGCATGGACTTTCTGCAAAGGGATGATTACGAAGTATCTTCTCCTCAATTAGACGAATTAGTCGAGCTTAGTCGCTGTCATCCCGGTGTGCTTGGAGCGCGCATGACTGGGGGAGGTTTCGGCGGATCGATCATCGCATTAGTCCGTTCTAATGAGGCTTCCAGCTATCGCGATATGATACTAGTAAGGACGGAAGTGCCCTTTCCAAACTAATTTTTAATTCAAGTTAGTCAATAAGAAAAACTATTAATGTCATTGTATCCTACTTTACATAACCCATGTGTTGACAAAATCTAAGTGAGGTCGGAACTGCGGTCCACCCTGTATAAGAATGCCTGTTTTATGCTATCCTAAAGGAAATTCACCAGCATCATGAGGCCTACTCATATAACTTTTGGGAAATTTAACTATTAATATTCCTTTGCTTTATGTAATCTAGGATGACCACAGCTTTTATTCATCATCTTTTGATAATCTCCGAGTCTAATGGCTACGATTATGTTTTTTGGCCTTTGTGCGAATTCTTTTTTGCGTCGAGCATATATATATATAACTCGTAGAATCATTTGATACTTTTTTAAGGTAAACTGTCTGTCGATCCTATATTGGACATACTTTTAAACCATTAGTGTTGATTATCAAAACGCTTTACGTAAGTACCAAAATTATTTACTCTAATTATAACTTATTGTGATGTCTGGATCAGTTAGCTCTTTGAATTCAAAATGTGAAAGATGCTTAAATAATCGATAAGCACAACATTTTATCTTCTTAATTGTGATACAAATAAATGATAGTAAAATGAACAAAACATTGCTTTCCGCTACCAAAAAGCCAAGATTGTTTTGCCCTTTCCTTGCGAAATAGATTTTATGATGCTCACACTCATTCTTCCATTTTTTTATAAATTAACTGATTATTCATGTACATAATATGTGTTTTGGGCTCAACTTTCCCTCCAAAAATGTCAAGTTGATAACTAGCTGCAGAGGCGTCTCTAAGTGCATCGATACTGCTAAATCTAAAAACATTTGCAGGAAATACTTATTGCTTCTGAGGAGACTTAGCCACGGAAAAATTAATTTCATTCTAAGCAAGTCTCTGGTTGCTTCCTGCTCTTCATATATTGCAATTCTCCTTTCATATAGGTAGTTGAATCATGTTGTCCTTTTTAAAAGGTCTATATACTGTTCTTTGCTTATATTCTTCGGTATTCTAAATTGATGTACCAACTGATAGTCAATTTATGTTCGCAGAAAGTAGGTTTCAAAATTATCAGTTAGACTTGAATTAGAGTTCCTGTCACCCTAGATCGCATAAGGTGACCAAGCGCTGATATTTGAATTTTTCACAATGAAATGGATAGGCCTCACATTTCCATTGATTTTCACTTACCCTTGATTCGCAAAGGGCGTTCTCATCCAGATTCGATCGTGTGCTTTGACCTCTCTCAGGTGGAAATTAAACCCGATTAATGCGGCATATAATATCGACGCGTTATTGCTTAGCCATCGCCGCAACTGCCCTCGGGTCACAGAGCAGACGAAAATTTCAAGAAAGGCTAAGCCCCCTACATTACATTTACAATGAATTGATTACGCGTTATGATGTCATTAAGTTTTAATTAGCTTTGTCTTCTGGAAGGCTATCTCTTTCTGAGTATAGTGCATTTTTAACCTTACATAGACTTCATCAGCCCGCCTTACAGGATTGGAAAGCAAAACGCTTATTTCTAGTGGCAACACACAACTCTGACTTAAATCCACAGATGCCAGTGGGTCACAGGTCAGATTTTACCTTCAAACCAAGCTAAACCTCGCAAATTAGATTTATAGTGGGATTGTCGACCAGGTAAACCCATATTTGGCATTGCAATCGTCTGAATCACCATATTCTATCAGTAGCTCTTGAATAAAAACGTAACCAGACCCAAGCTGGTTAAGGTAATGTAAAATTCATAGTTGAAAGAAAATGTTATCACCGAACGGCTTTGTCATAAAAGCCATTGCTCAACTTTTATTCTATTGTAACACAATCTCGGGTAGTCTACCTTTCATGGATTCTATTTAGCATTATTATTTATTGGAATGTCAAATCGTGGATCATTATTTCTTGTATTTTGTGTCATCTAACTACGGATACGTTCTAGTATGTGCAACGGTTGGAAAAAGCGGATTGCATCGCGGAAAGCTTGTACAGATCAGAATGAGGTACAAGTGAGGTCGAAGTGTGAAAGCGTCGCATGAGGTTGGTCTGCATGAAGGACGGCGCTTAAGGATCTATGAGTAAAGAAGTAGTTGCAGTTATGGAATATATATAAAAAATTATGCAGGCCTATGTGTTGCCTACAAAAGTTCACTAGTAATGGACAACTAGAGAAATGGAAACTGAATGCACTTCTTCGTCGAAATTTTAGCTCTCTTAATGTATATGGTCTGCCCAAAATTCATAAAGAAGGAGTCCCACTAAGGATCAATTTTAATAATAAGGGTTGTGTGTTGCATAAAATATCACGCATTATTTGTGCTCAATTAAGCAAATATAGGGTTTGTGCCAATTTTTATAAAGGATTCTTATGACTTAAAGAGGCTGATGAGTAATTGATAGAACAGGAAGATTTGCTGGCAAGTTTGGATGTAGTGTCAATGTATATTTGTTTATTTGTAAGTGGGGCCATACAGGCTCTCGGGTTAATATTAGACAAACATCTTTAGATTATATAAGGAAATAAGATAAGAAACGAGTCAATCGTGTTATTTACGAACCTATTAATCAATAGTACATATTTTAATTGAAGGTATGAAGACCAAGATAGTGTATACACTTGTGTGTTCGCAGTGCCTTTTCGTTGTATATAAGTTGTTTGACCTTATTTTTGCAACTTGGTCATT